AACACCCTGGTTTCCAAAATCACTGATTAATATGAATTTGTATCAAGTACGCCCTCTGAGTGCCAGATTGGTCCAGACCCCATTTGTTGGATCAAATTGGATTTGTTGTTGTTGTACCCCTGTGGGGTGTAAAATATTCCTTAACAAAAAATTCTCTCAAAGCTCAAATTCGATACCTTTAATTAAGGTAGAAAGATTAAAATCAGTCTACACCCCTGGGCGGAAGGTAAGGAAAAATGGGAAGGAGATTACATGCGAAGAAACGGATGCGCTTACTGATAAGGTAAAAATTCAAATAGTCAACCAACTGAACTATTATGATTCCTCGTAAGAATACACTATGATTCCTTGTAAGAACACGGGCTGACTAAACATTAATCTGTATTACATTTGGAATCGTCGTTATATTAAGTTCCTTATTACTAGTGATTATTATATAAAGTTGGACTAAAGAAAAAGGTAGTACCAACAAAACATAATGACAAAAGGAGGGAGGAGGAAGAGAGAGATTATAACTTGTGTGGAAAGGGTGATGAATTGGCATTTTCAGTAAAGAACAAACATGTACTCTTGCCCGTGATAATATCACGTGTTTCCAAACCGAAAGGTAAACCACCTTAAATAATCATTTCGTCGATTTGCCTTTATACTTTTTTTTTCATGATTGATACACTATATAGTATCAAATGAAAATAAAAGGTCAACTTACCAAAAAATTTGTATATTCTCTTTCGACATAAAGGTTTTAAACCTTGAATAATAAAGGACAATTTACATATTTGGCCGGTCAACTAAAATAATTACATTTGCTAATCAAATATACAATATATATATAATACATTTTACCGGCTATTATTTTTGGCAGCAATTATATTGTGTAGTTTCACAATAATAAAGGTTGAGGAAATATGTTTTCCAATAGACTTCTCGATCTAGAGATATATGAGTCATAGCCTTATAGGTCATAAGTCATAACTAGAAGGGCAATTAAATTAGATAAATAGAGTGCTGAACATGCCAAAAAGGGTAATATAAATAATGGATTATAACTCAATTCCTTCAAAATTTATTTAAATCAAAATGGATTTGACAAATAATATGTTGGAATTGTTACGACCTAACCTGTCCGATTTTGTAGTGGTCATACTGTCAGTTTCTAAATGGTATTTGCACTATTTCCTAGAGGTTTTTCAGTTTTCTATTCTTTCTTTATTGAAAAATTTACCTTTGATATTGCTATATGTTTAACATCCTGAGCTATGGATATTTTTTTTTTTTATGTTTTAGCAATTACTTAATTGAGCTTTTCTTTAAATATATTTTGCAGTAGTTTCTTTCGGGAAAAAGTTTATAATAGTCTTTGAAAAAGCAAATAAGGTCTAATATCTCCTTAAAAAAAGGACAATATATTGGAATTAGTCACCCAAAAAAAGAGAATGCTTGGAATCTTTATACAAATAGCTGATTACACACGGTCATACGTGTAAGCACGTGATTTTTGCCCTATGAAAGAATTACTCCCAAAAAAAATTCAAAATAAAACAAATTTCCTTCTGTGTGCAATTTTTGTATTTTTGTAGTATTTTTGTATAATTATTTGTATTTTTGTCTGTGCATGTTTATTTGTTTAAATTAATAAAAATATAAAATATGTCGCATTTGCATTTAGGATTTAATCCTACAATTGTTAGTAATTAAGTTTGTTTTACAAAAATGAAAATTCCAAAAAAATGTGCATCGTTTGCATTTTTAGCATTTAATGTCCAATTGTACAATTTTATGCTTAATTATCACTTAATTGTGTGTTAATTGTTATTAGGAATTAATTTGCGCTTTTATAAATTAATTTAGTTCTATACAATAATTTAAGAATTTTTAGAATTTAGTTTTAGAAAAATAAAAGAAG